GTCCCAGTCCAGACCCCCAAGAGGGTTCTTGGATCTCAGGCAAGAAAGAATTCAGGGCGCGTCTGCTGTGTGCAGCAAAAGCAAGTTTATTAAGAAAGTGAAGGTGAATTGGCAGCTGCTCCATACACAGAGCAGGACGTTCCCAAGAGTAAGAGGAGGAACGCGTCCACCCTAGGTACAATGCTTTTTTATATATACGATTAAAAAAAGATCGTAGGGAGATTGCTCTGCTACAAGGGTTTGTGATTAAAAGATTAATTTTCTTTATTACTATATTTTGCAAGAATCAATATTATTATCTTTAAAGCAAAATTGGGAACGCTTCTGTTTTCAAGATATCAGGGTTATCACGACACTCCTAAGTCTGGGTCTGTTTAGTAAACGTTATCAATCTATTCCCTTAGCCATAAGCATCTAGAGTCTAGGAATACCTAACCTCCTGGGAGTCAGCCCAGCAAGTCCCAGCCTCATTTTCCAGCCCTCAGTCAAGATGGAGTCACTCTGGTTCAAACGCCTGACACTCAGAGGATGCACCTGATACTAAACCAGTAAGAGCAGACACTGCAGATACTACCCTTCATCTCAAGGAAGTGACCTGATAGCCTTTTCAGGCTACACCATGTGTGTGCATGTGCGGGTGTGTGATTGTGTGTGTGTGAATGTGCAGTGTGCAAGTGTGAGTGAATGTGTGTGAATGTGTATGCATGTGTGTGTGAATGTGTGTGAATCTGTGTGAATGTGCATGTGTGTGTGTGCATGTGTGTGTGTGCATGTGTGAATGTGAGTGTGTTAATATGCATGCTTTGTGCATATGTGAATGTGTATGCCTATGTGAATGTGTGTGAATGTATGTGTGAATGTGTGTGTGAATGTGTTTTGTGCCTGTGTGAATATGCATGTGTGTGTGAATGTGTGTATGAATGTATGTTAATGTGTGTGTGAATGTGCATGTGTGTGTAAATGTGTGTGTGCATGTGTGAATGTGTTAATGTGTGTGTTTTGTGCCTGTGTGAATGTGTATGTGTGAAAGTGCATGTGTGTGAATGTGTGTGTGTGTTTTGTGCATGTGTGAATGTGTATGCCTGTGTGAATATGCATGTGTGAGTGTGTGAATGTGTGTGTGAATGTGTGTTAACGTGTGTGAATGTGCGTGTGTGTGTATGTATATGAGTGTGTGTGTGCACGTACACGTGTGAGCACTTATGCACCAGGACTATTCTAGGCATCCACATTGGCTGTCAATCCTCACAACAGCCTTGTAAGATGGGTGCTATTCTATTACGATTTATTTTCGTTTTATAGATGCAGAATCTGAGGCTTAGCAAAATTAACTCGGTTTTCCAGGGGTGTTTGGCCCGCGCTGGCCGCGGCACCACCTGCTTCCGTCTGCTCTAATTGTTGGCTGCACTGAGGCTCTGCTCGAGAGACCTCCTGTGACGACTCGGGTTGGGGCTGGAATTGGGGGGATGGCAAGCGCTGTGTGTGCATTTCAGTCCCGCCAGCAGGGTCCCCCGCCTCCAATGACCTTGTTTCAGGGAAGCTCCCCCCCATTTCCCAAGCGCCGGCCCCGGGGAAAAGGTGGCAGGGGCATCGTCCTTTCCAGCAACGTGCCAGTCATCTCCGGCAGCGCAAACGATGCCTGCTCTGAACAGTTCGACCCCATGAGGAACATTCTGTATTCAACTTAATCTTTGCTTTGTGTCTGTAATATCAAAGCAAGTCTAAAGAGCCCGCGCACCGTCAGAATCTATTTAATTGTGCATAAGAGATTTCGACTTTAATTAAAGAAGCAGGGGAAGGTTCCCTTAGGTCTCAGCCCCTGCACTCGCAGGGAGCATCTCAGGACAGGGGTCCCCGGGAGCCCAGTTCCAGCCTCCTTTGAGGTGCCTGGGACCACTTGGGCTTCGCCCCGACACAGGGCTGCCTGTGTGCAGGAGGAGCAAAGCCTTCTGCTTCCCTCACCGCCCGGCAGAGCCTCACCGTCCCAGCCCCGTTCACCAGAGCCCCCAGCCCCTGTGTGAGGGCAGCAGTGGTCGTGTCCTGCCTGGGCGCTGTCACAACACTTGCATGCGGAAACACAAGAGCTTTCCAATTCCCCAAGCTCGGCATCATCAAGTTCCCCAGCTACATTTATTTTAAAGGTGAATGTCACAGAGGTCTCCGTGGAGGGTTCAGGGGTGCACGATTCCTCTTCCTCAAAGAGCCTTTAATGGCAGACCTCCTGCCTTCCGGAAGGCTGGTAAAATCCAAGTCTTTATACATTGCCTTTCGTTGGCTTATTTTTGCCTCTTCTGAGCTTCCTGGTAAACTAATTTTGGTGATTTTACTTTCTCCTCCATGTGTGACTTTTCTGTCCTATTTGCCTCCTGTGGACCCCTGATGCCTCTGGGAGACGGTCCTCAGCATGAGACCTTTCTACTTTCAATCTTGTCTACTGACTGTACTTTTTCATTTCTAGTTTTGTTTCTTATTTAGAGTATCTTGGGATTTTTTGTTTTTGTTTTTGTTTTTTTTGTTGTTGTTTGTTTGTTTTCTCTTTGTGATGTCTTTGTTTTCCCTCATGTTTTTACTTCCTTCGTTCATGATTTTTTATAATTCTGTTTTCTAAAGTTCCCAGAGGCTGTGTGTGCTGGTGTGTGCTCACGGTGGACTCTTGCTGTGTGTGGTTTGTCATTTTAGTTTCGGTTCGTCTTGGTTGGGGCTTTGTCTGTGGGAATCCCACGAGGCTTGAACTGAGAGCACCTCCAGGCCAGTGCCCTGCTGACATTGGGTTGCATAATTCTTTGCTCTGGGGGCCCGTCCTGTGCAGGGTATTGGCAGTATCTCTGGTTTCTACCCACTGGACGCCAGTCACAGCAGTCATGACCATCACACATGTCTGCAGACCTCGCCGGCTGCCCCAGGGCAGAATTGCCCCCACTGCTGGGAACTGCGGCTTTGGCTGGTTCTCTGCTTGGTCCTGTCAGCTTCAGGGGTATCGCTGCCACCACCTGTGTGTGATCATGTCTTGGCTGTATCACCCACCAAAATTCCACTGGGCACGCTAGGCTCGTAGACACACAGCATCGTTTTTGACCTGGCCGAGAGAGAGGCCTTGAAACCTTCTGGTACTGGTTGGTGGGTTTCCTTCCCGATCACCCTCCGTGGAGGGGCCCTGCATGGCCCCTGCTTTCCGTAGATCAGTTCAGCCTCTGCCCTCGTGCTGTGACGGCCGTTCCTGCTCACCTCTGTCGTCACTGAACCAGACGCCACACTCTTCACGAGACTGTGTCGTCAAACTGGTTGATCTACTCTAATACCTTGTGGCAATTCAAGATGCCTATTTTTGCTCTTATGAATGAAATTGAGCATGATTTTTCATATGTTGAAAGCCTTTCCCCCCCTTGATGTGAACTTTATGTCAGTTGGCCCACGTTTTCTTCTGAGCTGTTTGTAGTCTTTCTTTTGCTGACGTTTTGCAGAGAATGGGGAGGAACTCCAGAGCTTCCAGAAGTAACTTTGCAATCTCTTAATTTTTTTTTTTTTTGCTTAACCCAGTGAAACCCCGTCTCTACTAAAAAATACAAAAAACAAACGAGCTGGGCGGA